TTCTTATAAATTAATTTTTAAAATAAAAAATTGCAATAATTTAAATAAAATATTTAATCTAAAATTTTAAAAATACTTTAATTTTTTTTTTCATAACATTGTAACAATTGATATAAATTTTTTTACAAATATTCATAGACAAATTTTTTTTCTTATTCTTGAGAAGATTATTTTTTTAAAAAAAGCTTAAATATTAGAGAAGAAATGGACAAAGCAATTCAAAATATACCTATATAGACAATAGATCATGTAGATTAATGATTCACCAAGCCTAAGTCAAACAATTCTTTACATCAAATGTTGGAGGGGAGGCCAAAAAGAAACCAAAACACAATCCTTGCATCACCATCATTATGCAGCATTTAAATGCTATAAAAAAAAAAAAGGAAGAAACTTACCAAAAGGGACAAAAGGGATAGAAACAAAAGGAGGGGTAAATAGATGACATGACATAAGAACAAATGATACAAAGGACAATTGGCTCAAAACATAAGGGTGAAAAAAAGCCAATTTGCCTGGCACAAGTTCTAAGAAAGAAATGAAAATGACAAGTAAATGAAAAATAATATTTTAAAACATATTAGAAAGAGCGAGTGGAGAATCATGTGGCATCAAGCAATCGTGAACCACGCATGCTACAAACGAGCGCTCGAGGTCGCAGAGCGCTCGAGCGAGTGAGGTTGAGGATCGCTCACCGATGACATCCGGTTCGATTCTTTCCGGACACGCTTGTCATCTCCGCAATGTCTTACATGTCCATTGGGCTTGCAGGATGTTCAATGGATCCAAATATTAGTCGAGGTGTGCGCAAAGTCGGCTCGGACACTCGGGTTATCAAAAAAGAAAAAAAATGCATGCAAAGAAGTCAAACAATGCAACCGAGTGATAATTCATAGTTACTTGAGTATGTGTGAACAATAGGGGTGAACAAGTCTCATCTAACATCTTATAGATTTTTTTATAATGTTTTAAACATTAAATATCAACGTATATGAACCTTTTACACTTCATATATTGAGAAAGTAAATTTTTGACTTGATTAATGGTTATGAAAAAAACATTAAATAGTATTGAACCTGAAATCTCATGAACATGAAATCTTAAATTTTACCATTGAACCATCTATTATGGCTAACACCATTTTGAATACAAAAACCAAGAATTCATATAATAACTTTTAGTATGTACACAATTATTTCATAAAACAATAAAAGTTACTAAATGAATTAGATCCATTTCATATTTAGAAACTAATGTAAAAATAAATCTAACGCTTTAAACCTCCTTTTTTTTTTTTTTTTTTTGCCTAGGATCCATCTTAATCTTGTTATTAGTTTTACTCAAAAGACTTTTTGTTTGAACAGTTTTTACTCCAGAGACTTAAGACCGATTTGGTAACGAAGACATCGATATACTTGACTTGCAAGCTTGAACTTTGCCTGAAATATTTTGCAGTTTTAAGCGAAAACAAATTTTATAATAGTCTTTGTTACACAGCAATATGTTAAAAAGCGACGATACATAGCCGGACGTATTGGTAAGATATTCTTCCACTTGGTTTGCCACCCCATCTGCACAAAGTGGAAAACATAGTCCATGAAAATTAATAAAAAAAGGAAAGAAACAAAACTATTAAATGAAACTAACAGGAATGACTTGTCCATTTCATCGTAATAATACGAACTTGAGATATTAATGTGAACAAACAGGATTATTAACAGCACCAAACCTTTAAAAATAAGTCAGGCTTGAACTGTATTTTTAGTTCTGAGAAAATATCTTGTAACCTTGGATTAACCTCAAACTTGATAACATTACTTCTCTACGTACCGTTTGGTTATCCTCCTGCCTAGCTACGATGAGCTCACGAGATAAGTTAAGATAGCAAATCGTGCCAAAAGATTTAACTCCAAGTTATAAAAGATCACCACAATCTGGATCTTGCTTCCAAAATACCTAGCTAACAATCATCCATATCGTTGAACACAAAACATTTGCTTCCAAAAGACTATCCCCTGACGGAGACAGATTGCTCCTCATAAGGACCCCTCTTTCCAGTTTCCTCCATCAGTCGTCTATTAATCGGTCCATAATTATCCCAGGGACCCACCTATTTTGCATCCAAATGACAATGTCCCATCTAATAATGACATGGAAACACATCATCCCACGTAGTCGGTGACGTGCATTACATGTGTAACGATTCGATTGGGAGGATGTTACGGCAAAACCCATGTGGGCTCCACGTTTGGTAGGCCAGCCCACCGCCCAAGCCTGAACCTAGACGTAAAAGGCAGACCTTTACAGAGCAGTTAGGTAGTTCTAAAGGAGTTTTCGAGCTCTTGTAATTCTGCCTATTCTATTTGGGGGATGAAACGGCACGCCGGATATCCATCATTCCCTGCTACGAACGCATCTTGATGCAGAAACGGGTGCCTGCTACCGTACGAAGTTTTCAATTAGGATTATTGACATAGGGATCTACAATAACTACACAAAATTCCGAGCATCATCGTAACCTTTTCGGAAATTTTATAATATTTAAAAAATAATGAATATAAATTATTTTATAAAAAAGATAAATTAAAAAATTAAAAAAATTGAGGTACGAAATTTTTTTTTATTAATTTTTATAGGTTCGAAATATGATTTTTTTTATATATCTATTTTTTCAAAAATAAACTTATACAATAATGATTATATATTATTTGAATATTATAAAATTTCTTATTATTTTATTATCGAATCTCTAATGATGCCCAATGCCAATTTATAGACAAAATGCATGCTCCTACTCTTTCTATAGGAAGGGTTCACATGATGATGTTGATACAGTATTATGCTAATCAAAAGTTAATTAAATACCACATCACTTTATATCGGTGCATTACATACAGTCTTAAAATTGTGAGATGAAATCAATTTTGGCCCAAAAAAAAAAAATCATGACAAAATATTTTTATCGAAAATACTCCATATTGATCTAATTAAGCTACTTTACTTCTTTTCTTTTTTTTGTTTCATTTATAATAAATCCGTAGTATTCTTGTAATTATACGTGATTGGAAATGTCGCCAAAAAAAAAAAAACCACTATTACACTAGATTCTCATGGATCAAAAGCCTTAATTCAAAATAATTTAATGATATATATATAATTTGATTCGATACTAAGACATATCTTAATCTCGTGACATTATAAAAATTTTAAATGTTGGGTCGTATGTGTACAATTTGGAGCTGTCACGGTCAAAATCTCAATTTTTAATTTTAAATATTGCGATTAAAGCTTTCCGCCTCTAGCTTGGGGTACGTGGTTGGATCAATCTGTAAAGAGTAGAAGAAAATGAAAAGGAAGACTGTTGACACGGAACCAAGAGATACGAAATCCGCAGACATAGCCGTCCTCCAACTCAGCTCATCCTGTCCTCCATCACGAATGTCAAAATCTGTCTCCGCTTTCCATCTTGTGGGGTCCATATGCTTTAGAGAGGTCCGCGAAGCCAGAGAGCGTGGACCCACTTAAAGTGCCACGTCAGAGTTTTATTCGTTTCTTTTAAGTAAATTATACCCGTTGGTTGTGGGTGACTCGTCAATACCCATAGCCCAAACTTTAAGAATAAATAAATGTACATATTATAAAGATAATAATGTATAGCTGTTCGAAAATTATATCCGTGAAGAATAAAAATATATTTTATGAATTCATCATTAAAAAAATTTTGTAGATTGAAAAAAAAAAAAACTTTCTTGTAATGATAATTACGATTTTTTTTTCCTTCTAGCTCAAGGTTTTATTTTAACTCAAATATTTTTTTTAAAAAAACAAGATTTAAACTGGTAAGTTTTTACGAGTATAAAAAAAATTATTACCATACCTTGATAGACTATTGCATTTGCAAATGTCTTTTCGTTTTGTTTTGTTTTTAGTAGCCATCCATGTTGATTTTGATCAATTAACGAAATATTTAATATATATGTCGTTCTAGAGGACTAAGTTTCAACCATAAAGAAAAATTGATCAGAATGGAAATTGGTGATAAAATTTGTTGAGATATAAATCAATATGATAGAAATTGTTGCAATGATATATTTCAATCGATCTTGGCTCATATTATCATGGATAACATTATAAAATATAAATTAAACATTTTTTATTTTTTCTGTTAAACACCCTTTTTCTCAAGTTAACATATTACGTTAATTATAAATTAATATTTGTGTTCTTTCTTTCATAAAAAATCTCGATTTCGAATCTTTTGTAAAAAGAATAAAAAAACATATAACTTAATAATCCGATTCAATGATGCTTCCTAATAATGCATTTCATGTATATACGAATATTCAGGTTACCAGTTGACACAGCAAATTAATCAAAATTTCAAGAACTTATTACTGTGACATGCATCATCATATGATTATGAAGTTTTCCATGGTAAGAAAACAAAATTCATACTAACGAAGATGGATGAATAGTGTCACAATTACCCTAGGTAAGCAGCTAGATAAGATGCAAAAGAAAGGTTTCGGGTACGAATGGCAGGTTGAGAACATGAGTGAATGATAATCAGGTCACCTACGTGACCGACTGCACAAAGCACATAAGCACGCACAACCAAAAGAAGATGATGGCTTTGATGAAAATGGCCTCCATTATTTTAGCTTTTTCCAATCAAAAGCCTACAAACAAGTAGACATTAAAAATAGTTAAACCCCATCTCCAGAGAATTTTCTTAACATCATTACCAAACATGCTAATTCCCTTTCAATTCTGTGGCTGAGGTGTCAAATCCCAAGATTCCTCAATTGGCAGCTCCCTCCTCACCCACTCAACTGATCGAAGTGAGGCTGAGCCCCCCTTCATCTCTATATAAACCCACTCTCAGTCCTCACTCTGCATCAAATACTCAAAACCAATCTTTCCTCGTCTTTTTCTGCGATAACTAAAGCTCCTTACAGTTTTCTTTGTATCCCTCTTGCTTTATTTTCCTTCTAGTTCCAATGGCCACTGCTGAGGTAACTCCCTCACTATTAATGAATGGCCCTATTGTTGAGAAGTTCTGTTAAATATCATCCATTTTTCTACAAAGTCATTTGATATTATATCGTGTTTAAAATTTTCAAATTTGATCAGTTTTATGGTCTTTATTTCTTGGATGTTCATATTCGAAAACTCCTATCTTCATCTCTATGTATATAACAAATGGTATAAACCCATCAGCATTTTTATGAACATGCTTTTGATCACGCACTGACACTTCAAGTAACAGTACTTTAAAAGTAGATAGTATTCCAATATCTCATCAGCATTTTGGTGAACATTCTGTTAATTATGTATCCTGCAGGTTGTGTCAGCAAAGAGTGCTCTTGTAGAGGAAAAAACTGAACAACCAGTCAAGGTTGAGACCACCACAGAAGAAACAGTCACTGCAGCACCAGAGGCAGTAACTGAAGAGCCAAAAAAGAAGCAGAGACAGTTGCAGCATCTGAAGAGGCTGTGGCACCAGAGCCTGAGGCCTCAGCTGAAGTTGAGACTAAAGGGGTGGTAGAAGAGACCAAGACTGCTGCAGAAGAGCCAGCAGTGCTAAAGAAAACTGAGGAGGAGGAGACACCTAAAGAAACAGAACCAGAGCCGGTTGTCGAGGAGACAAAAGAGGAGTCTTCAAAGGAAGTACCTGCAGAGCCTGTCGTTGAGGAGGCCGCTAAAGAGACTACCGAGTCTGGGAAGACACAGGCACCAGAGCCAGAAGTTGCAGTCGAAGCTCCAAAGGAAGAAGAAGAAGTCAAGGAAGAAGAGAAGCCTGTTGAAGCAGAGGAGAAGGTTGCAATAGAAACCCCAGTAGAAAAGACTGAGTAACGAGGTTATGAGAGAATCGTTTTCAGTCTGTCTAGTGGCCGGTGCTTGTGTACGTAGGTTGAGTCTTGCATGTCTAGCTTGTACGATGAGTTCTTATTCTGGCTAGTGGTTTAATAAGGATTGTTAAGTTAATGGGGTCTAGGTATGGCAATTTCCCACTTGGATCACACCAATAGGAACTCTCCACATAGCAGCATTAGATCTTTGATTTGGAGCAGAAATGCTTGGTGCTTCATTGTGGATGCAATGGGTCAATTCTGCCTTGTGGGATGTTCTTGTTGGTTCCAAGTAGGTTGATGAATTTAATAATAGTTGGATATGTACTAAAATAAGTAGCATGCTTTGTTGCTTTATGTTCGATAATTGGAGCACATATTCTGCTTTGCTTTTTTGCTTCTCCTCTTCTGTATTTACCAAGACCATGTTTTCAGGTTTATAAAATCTTTTAGTCCTGAGAAATTGAGAAATTCCCATATAGATATACAAGAGAACAATCACCAGTGACTCCAAAATCCAAATTACATCTGATCTGGTTAATTTGCCATTTTTTCAAAGCCACAATCAAGACTGAAACGTCATTTCCAATTGAAATTAGTTACAAGTAGCAAAGCCGAAGGTTAAGGTGGCAAGAAACCCAGTTTGCTAATTCTCCCAATTAAATCTACCTGATAGACAGATTAGCCAATGGACTGTGTGTAAAAAAAGAAAAAAGATTAAATACAGATTTCCGAGGAAAAAAAAAAGAAGCAACCCAATTCCAGAGAGATAATAACAAGTTAACAACATCCAGGACAGTGGAAACAAACTACCTTACATTTTCTCTCCGTCAGGGCTTTCATGGCTAATCGAGGTATTTCGAAAAATTTTATAATGTTGAATGAATAATTAGTTTAAGTTACTTTATAGAGAGAGAGAGATACAAAAAAAGAGAGAGAAATAGGAAAGAAATTTTTTTAAAAAATATTTGAGCCAACATATAAATTTTTTTATCACTTTTGATAAATCTAGATGTGATTCTCTTTTTTTTTTTTTATGTATCTATTTCTCTCTTCATGAAATAACTATTGTACTTATATATTATTACTTTTAAAATATTATAAAATTTATCGAGATATTTCATCTCCCCCCTCTTCACTTCTTAACAACCAACAATGCATTCATTTTTTTTTTTTTTTTGAGGTTCGTGGGTCTTAAGCAATACAAATACGGATCTCTCTCTCTCTCTCTCTCTCTCGTTGTATAATAATTAAATAAATTGAGTTCATTAGTATTCAAATCTACTTTACTAAAAACAAAAAAAAGCTTTTGAATACAAAATTGTTAGGTTCACTACAAAAAAAATAGAATTAGTGATGGTTTAGATTGTCGTTAATTTCGTAAAATCCATTGCTAATTTTAATTAGTGATGATTTTGCGACGATCCAAAAATCATTCGTAAAATGCCAATCGCTAATTTAGCGATGAAAAAACGATAGTAGAAAATGGTAGTAGAAGTGAGGTAATTTTGCGACGGTAAACAAAACCCTCGTTAAAACCATTGCAAAATAGTGATGGTTTTAACAACGGTTTTGGACCGTTACTAAAATTGTGAAATTAGCGACGGTCTAAACCGTCACTAATTCCGTCGCTTAAATGTTATTATTTTTTTACCCTTATTTTAAATTAATGAATTGCTATTTAAAAGTTTACAAAATACTTAAAACATAATATTTTAAAATTTCATAATTATAATTATAAAATTTATTAAAATGTAATAAATATTATTAAATTCTTGAAAAAAGTAGAAATTTTTTTGTTATTACATGATAGCTATGAGAGATTGGCAAAATCGTCACTCGAAGGTTGGGTGGAATTGTCCGGAGGTTAGGTGGAGTCGTCGTCAACGTTAGGCACGACGGATGAATCGCGACCTTGTCGAAAATGCCGCAACAACATCCGCCGCATCCGTGTCATCATCATATGTTGTCGTCGAGTGTACTCCTTCAACTCATTTGTTGTAGCCAACGGCGTTGTGACGAGTACCTCGTAGCTCTTGGATCTTTTGCGTATTTATAGCAGCTTGATCCTCCTTTTTCTTTCGTTGTGCCTCATCACCCATATGGACTCGCAAAGTTACCAAACCGGAGGCCGTACCGATGTTAGAGTAATAGTGAGATGCGTGTGACCCAATTTTGTATATCCTCTTCCTCTTACTATCTCCTCCACTAACGGCCTTCCTAAAAATCTCATTAATGTTGACGTTGGTTGATGAAGTCCCCCGATCTATCGGCTAGTAACCTCTTCCTCATTTATTAATCTTTCTATGGTCTCCGACATAATTGTGAAAGACATAATATTAAATAACTATATGAAATAACGTTATAAATTCATATGTATGAAATAACATTATAAACTAAATAATAACTTACATCGATAACTCTTGACCGTTGATCGACAAAGATATATTGATCATCAATCTTTCTTTGATGAGTCCTCAAGAAAACCTTGTAAGGATCAAGTTCATGACCCAACATCTCACGTTGAAATAAATAAATGTGAATGTATTAAATATACTCAAATATTTAATTAATTATTTTGATATCATTATAAAAAATATTATATATATATTTACCATGTGTATTGCGTGCTCTCTATGGTTGATCGACCTCCTCGTATGTCTTAAAGGACCGGTTCCTATGCTACTAGTCTAGCTCTTGCAGTTTCTCATCTCCATCTCGGATCAAGCAATGGCCTCGGGTTTTGCCCATTCCATACTTCATACATCCTATATGTCATATGAGATAAATGTTAGCTTCGAGCTTCTCTTGAAATGATAAAGAAAGTCGAATACCGCTTTTATGTCGGACTTTTCCACGCTTTCTTAACTTTGATCTCGATGTTATTATCCCATGTAAATGATTTCGCAAAGAAAATAATAATATTCATTAGTAAATTTAATTAGATATTATTATTTTTTATTTAAATATGAAGTAATGTAATAAATTAATTACGTAAATTAGTACCTTAAACTCTTTCTAGTAGAAGTCTTTTCTTTCCGGCTCATGTTCTTCCACGTCCATCCGGAAATATGATCATACTAGCGGAATGTCTTAGATTGTACGAGTATAAACATTAGAAGGATACAACCTATGAAAATAGACATTAATTTAACAAATAAATGAATACATAATTATATTGATAAAGAAAAAATATGTTTCATAAAATTAAGTATAATATTAACGTACTCATTGCGACCAACGAGATAATTGTAACTCGCGGATCGACTATGGATCCGATAGATTTCAAAGCCGATGGACGAGGGACGTCCTATGACGGGACTTATTCAGGAACAGAATGACTATCTTGTTGTGATGATGAGGGCACCGACGACGATGGAGGGAAAGATGACGGGGATGTGAAGGTCCATAATAAGGATACGACTCAAGCTCGGACATGTCAAACCTCGAAGGGTATATCGTGGGGGCACCAACGGGGTGGTCTAAAGGCATATCCATGGGAGGTCCATCCGACTAGGAAAGGAAGGAGAATGGCGTCCACGTTCATGATCACCGTCTAAATCGATATCCGAATCGCGACCCTCACCGTATGACATGGGCAACTACATCCGAAAACGTCCCCTACCTTAAGGCATTATAACCTACATATTTTTAAACTCATTAGCATTAAAATAAAATATTCATTATATAATACTAACATATAACATTCATAGTAACATGAACAATTTTAAATATATTTATTTAATGAAGAGCATATATCAAATAGCATGGACACACATACATTTATTTAAATGTTATCTTAAAAAGTATAAATAAACTATGTAGGATAACAAAACCATATCGCTATTTTTTTTTTATAACGGGGACGGTACCCTAAAGATATATTGAAATAACGTAAAAAATTACATGGGGGGACATAACTAGCCTAGCCCAACAACCTAGGAGGACAAGGTTGCCTAAACCCCTAATTTGTTACTTGTCATTATATAAAATCCATGTGGACAATATATAACTCCATTGAATATAAAAATCAATATTACATAATTTAATAGGAACTATCATATCACTAATCAATATTATGGTCATCATTATCACATTCTTCATCTAAGTCTTCCTCAACATCCGTTTCAAACTCATCTTCATTCTCTACATTAATTTCACTCCCTTTTAAATCTAGTAGCGCTCAAGTTGGATCATTTAATGAGTAACCTTCATCATCATTAACTTGGATGACATTATGTTGGCCCATTCATTCCGTTTTCTTCAAAGGATTCGATATTTATTTGGTCGACAGTAATAGACGATTCGGATACGTACATTATCGACCTAGGTTTTATCTTACATACCGCTAACCAATCACGTATGATATGCTTCAATATAGGATATGCTACATAATATACCTAATGCGCTTATGATGCTAGTATGAAGGGATCGGATCTATTTGACGTTCTACGACTATTGACCTCCACTAGTCTATAATGATCATGAACTCTTGTATCAATGCTAGGTGTAGTATCATACTAATCATATTTGAACAATACGGCTTTCTTAGTTGGTGAGGCGGGATACTCAAGTTCGATTATATCGATCAACCTATTGTAGTAGTCATTTTTCACCACACCATAGCTAACTCCTTTTACACACACTCTACTACACACTCGTTGCTCTCTTCGAACCATGAATATCGATGTGGAACTTATACCCGGTTACAATATATCCCGGATACGAATTAACTGTTCGCAATGATCCTTTTGTAAGATCTTTAATGTAATGGTTTGTTATCATATTGGGTTGTGTATTACTTGCTCGTAAAGTTCGAATCTATAACTTGATGTTAGTATAAAATTTAATCAAATTTTTTTCCTAATAAAAAAATCTTTGCTTTCTTATACTTACATATCGATGGAACTATGATGTAATATCGGTTTCAAGTCGAACATCTATCTCATTCTTCGATATGTTAAGATCACTTTCATAAAGTTGGGTGATAAAATATTTAAGGAA